TCACGCAACTGCTTGGATGACACAACGGCAATATCTATATCGAAGTCTCCGGAGATGTTCGGATAAGTGGATTTGATTGATGAATGTTTGAGAGATTACATCGCGCGATCCATCAGCTCCACATTCAGTCGTGATTGCATATTATCAGGAGATCCTTACGCTTCCAAGATTATAAAACTGTCATAAAAGAGAATTTAAATGAAAATACCTTATACTGTATTATTTTAATACGTAATTGTATATTTTGAACCTAGGAGCTAAAATGAAGTTTTGCCGGCTCGGGTGTTTTTATTCTGTAGAAAACTATGTTAAAAATAGGTGGTAAAGAGGTTTGTTACTTATGTGAATGTGGTATTTTATTGAAGTATTTGAATAATGTGACTAAAGCCATGTATGTTGCTGTGTTTTATACGGCAATAAGGAATGTTTTATTTGATTTGGTTCTGGTAACATTGAAATTGTAATCATATTAATTAAGCTAAACATCGTATTTTTGTTTTTATGACTTCTATTTTGTAACTATTCAAAAGGTTTTGAAGTGTTTAAAAATGTTTTTAAGCTAGATACTTCTAATTTAAATACAACTAGTCAGATATACATATTGCAGTATTTCAAACAAAAATATGCCCAATTAATTATAAAATATACAAAAAATCCAGACCTCCATCAACATTTATATGTTATACTATTTATTTCATTTCAATTATTCATATTCATGCATCATATTTCTATTCATGCAAATTTTGTTTCATGAAAGGAAGTTATTGTTTGTAAATAATCCAGCAGAATATTTTGTATGTTTTATTGATATTTTATTCTTTCACCCATAAATCCTTTTACAAAACATGTACACACGAGTATGAATTAATTGAATAGTAAATACATTGCATGGAGCGTTTCGCTTGTTAGTTATTGCCACTTATCATGATCGCTTGTGGACCCTAAACTTGAGTGGCCTCTCATATTAGTGGTCAACTGATGAAAAACTTCCTGCTATAAACAATATTTATTGGACATATCCTCCAGGAAGAACATGATACTTGTAGAGTCAAAACAAACTTACCAACCCAAATTTAACGAACAAAATTGTATAATGTTGGGTCTAGGCCTTTAGTGGATTCGGTATAATCTTTGTCCTAGAAATTCAAGTCCAATCAGAGTTCAATCAGATTTTAGAGTTTCAATCAAGCCGTCAGAGTGCGCTGTTGCACAATAATGATGTATGTTTTACACACCTAATTAATTTTTAGCAAAAAGTACCTAATAGAGAAGAAAAAAATTTGCCCATTAGCTCACTGTGTAGGAGACTTGGTCAACCTTTGCTCCTTGACAAAAATATTGGCTGCAGCTTATCCATAAATGTATATCCAATTTGTAGTCTTCAAGCCCAAGGTTACATTACATAATGTACGTCATTTTAAGGTAATTTTTTAATAAGATTTTAATAGTTTGTTTCACACTTCTTGATGTAAGATACGAAAAAATTCTTAACATTTATTAATAAAAAGCAAGTGGAGATTATTTGTAAGTAAGCAACATGAAGTAAATACACATATGGCTATTCATTATATTAAACTTTAAATACTGATGACAATGCATAAATGAAAAGGTGTTTCTTAAACTATTAAAAAAACTGATAACAAACCGTGTAATAGGTTAACCTATTATTTATTTTAAAATATCAATTAAAGTACTTTTGGGAAAAAAATTACAAACTAGAATTTACTTAACGTTTTTATGATTATATTTCCATTAACGTAAAAAAATCATAATTAAAAGTAAGGATGGATTGATACATTTTATTTTGAACAGAAAATAGGAAGGAGCTTGAGTGAGAAACTGTAAAAGTGGGCGTTTTTGGCTTCAGTTCTAAAATAACCTCTTGAGACTTTCTATAATGCTTGAGAAGCACTTTGAAAGCATACAACCGCCAAAAAAGAGCGGAATTAAGAATATTAGGCCTATTCAATATTTGTGTAGAAACATTAAGATAAAAAGTTTTCTTAGTTTACATTTATTAGTGGGACAGGAATTAATAACCATTAATAAAAAAAAATTATTATACTTTCACATCCGTATACCTTTTTTGTAAAAGATGTATTAAAATGTTAGACCATTCGTAAATGTATTTTTCCCAGCATTAACAAAATAATAGATTTACCAAAATATGGTAATAGTTCATGTGTAAAGCAATGTAAAAATTGTTGAAAGTAACTTTGTAATCTGTAATTATCTATTAGTGTATAAAACCACTCCCCTTTTGAATGTTCATTCCCATCCTTAATTAATTTGAAGACTTTAACGATTTAACATTATATGATAATTATAAGTAATTTTTTAAAAAGTTATTTAACATTTTGTATAAAATGTCTAATACAAAATATAGTTAGTCAATTTTAATACAATCAATCGGTAAGCTCAGGTACATACGGAAAAACATGTGGATATAATAACCATAGTTAGTAACCATATTATAACATAGTATTTGTAATATTGTATTTGATAGTATTTGTAACTATAAGTTTTACAGTGGAGATAAAATCCGTTATTTTCTCAACCTAGGTTGATTTCATGTCCCAACTTTGTTCCAATAGCAGGCCATTATTTTCACAGTGGTTGCCCATTGCTATTGACCTTAATAGGCTGTTTGCATTCTGTTGTGAATTCAATTTCGGGACTTTTAATGGGATTTGGTACAACATTATTAATTAAGTATTTGTAATTACTGTAAAAGTTTTATCGCATGTTTCAGTAGCATAATTCTCGCTAGAATTGCGCTGTGATACATGTACAATGTAATTTTGACTGTTAAAATTCAATTTAATTTACTTAGGGATAAAACAGTAGGATTCAAAAGAAAGGAACACTTAACAATATTGCTTACTTTGTTGACCAAGAATAATCTGGATAATTGCATTTCACCCCCAGAGAATGATTCTGCCAAACTGAGTTCATTTTTCTGATTACGGCTTTAGCTGATTGCAATACAGTTACTTAATTGTATTGCTATAAGTATTCAACAACAACCGAAAATAATATAAACTTTATTTGATATATTTGATAATAATATTTTTGTATTTCTTACAATAGCATCCAATTTAAACACCAATTTTAATAGGTTATACAAGATGTTTCTTATAATATTGTTTCAATAAAGTGAAGATTAAAAACATTTTTATTTGGTCTTGTCTCAATGACAATAACTTTCCTCTATAATTGGATTCAAATGGAGACAAAGAGAATTAAATGTAGACCGTCAGCCGTGCTGCGGTTATCATAGGTTCTGGCGCACACCGCTGGGAGCGCCATGTAGGTACTGTGAACGCGCTACGTAACTACATGGCGCTCCTAGCGGTTTGCACCGGAACCTATGGTAACCACAGCACGGCTGACAGTCTATATTTTTTGTCTATGATGATACTTACTGTGAAAATACCTTATTCTGGCAATCCAAATGTTGTATTCCACAACTAGTTTCAACCTGCTAAGAGGTCATCATCAGGTGAGTACAAGGACCTTCATAAGAAGTAATCATCCCTGTACTCACCTGATGATGACCTCCTAGCAGGTTGAAAGTAGTTGTGGAATACATTTTGATTGCCAGAATCAGGTATTTAAACCACTATTATTAGTTATATTTTGCAATCAGGAGGCTACTCACACTACAATGAATATAATACTCTATATTTTAGCATGAATAGGAGAGGAACCCGTTATAAAATTAACTTTCATTGTCACCTTACTATATATATTTAGTTTACGTAATCCCCACCGATTTACGCACATAACAGTTTTTTACGCACCACATTTTGATTAAAACACAAACCCATAAGGGGAAACCAAATGCAAAGACATTTGTCTTCATGTTTAACTAAGCAGAAGCAAAACCCTTAAAGCCACATAATTGATAAACGTTTACTTTGGTTTGAAGAATACAAGTCAGAAATTGCGTTTCAAACCGAAGATAATAAGGTTGCCAGAGGCACTGGAGCGTAGGCACACTCAGTTTACACAATGCAGACGAATTTGTAAGCGAGATCATTAAACAAAGAGAAACAAGCAGAGGTCCTTTGTCCTACAATTTCGGGAACCTTTTGTCTTGACGTTCAAATTTACTTTCCGTTCAGCTCAGTCGAGGAAAGATTTTCAAAATTATATAGCCTCAAATTAGACCAAAATCGGTAAAAGTAGTTTTTTTTTACACATAACAAGTAGGTAATAATCTTATTTGAACAGCACGTACAAAATATAAGACAATAAGTAGAAAATGAATGCCCCTTACCGAAAAATTCAAATGAATGTTTGTAATTAGTTCTTAACACCCTAATTACTATGAGAACAGAATATATCATCGGGTACCACAATTTTATATTCTAGACTTTTTGGTTAATTAATCACGAGCCCTAATTAATTTGTAAACACTAATATGTAATTGAAGTGTGAAGTTCGAACCTAGTCCAACTCGACCTAAAATCCCCTAATCCTAAACACGATTCGAAAATAAAAATGAAATTTTAACTTAAAAACCTTTGTGGTACTTAGCTAAAAGAAAATGTCCTTAATTTTTAATTGATTTATTTAGAATCATCATTAATTTGATAGAGACAGCTAAGCAAACTCAATTACGATTACTTTCTCAACTACATAAACCATATAAAAAATTTGACATAAAAAACTACAATAAATATACTGCAGATAAAACATATTGTAAATCTTTGTCAAATCAATATTATAACCAAATAATCAAATATTAATTTTCATCTAAATATTACTTAACGCACGCTCCAAAACTCTAATATAAGCATAATTTACGTTCAATCGTATAGTATTCGTTTTTCTCCAGCTGTATTGTTGGTGACCTTCGCTAAAAGCTGAGTCAGCTGGTGCCAACAATGAGCTGGCGGACGTTCGGGCATCTTCGGCTCCAGTCGGTTCTGTTCGTCTCCAGTCGGCTCGGCAGGTGACAGCCTGTCTACACCGGCAGTTTGTCCGTCTGTGCGGTTCGTGTCGGACGTGTTTCGTGTATCGTGTTGCTGCAACACGCTCATTATCACGCACGTGTTTTCGTGTTTGGATATCCTGTATATATATTCTATAACCAGGTAACTATTTGTAGTTGTATTACTTACATTTGTTTGGAATATGTTTTGACAAATTTATTATTTGAAGAGTTTGATAATGGAATTGTGTAATTTTAACACGGTTTTTGTTGTTTAATCATGGTAAAGGTAATTTGCGTGAGTATGAGACATAAATCTCCAAATATTATGTATTGTTTGTTTAAATAAAATTATTTTCTCCTAAACCAGTGTAAATGTAAAACAATCAAAGAGTGTTTGGATCAGATTCAACGCAATAATTTTGTGTTGTGGGGGAAAAAACTACCGCATTTTTAGCTTTACAAAATAATTAATAATTTTACATTCACATTCATGCAAGATAGTTTTTGATACCACAGTTATTAATTTCCATAAGCTGACAAACTCTTAAAACAATCTCTTCCAATAAATGTGTATGAGTTAAACCAGGAACATTAAATTAAAAAAAGAAACTCTTTAACGTATTACAATTTTTATTATGACACACAGTTACTACGATTTTTACAGTTTTTACGTGGATTAATATCACCCCAGAGTGTGGATCATATAAAAGTAGAATGTTATAAATTTCACAACAACAATATGTATTAATTGAACCACACTGTATTGCCAATATATCTTAATTATCTCTAGTGCATTAGGCTATAGTAAGCGATCATTGATGTATATGGGTTTGCTAAAATATTATTATTATCCATTTGAATAGTAAATTGCACGATGCAATTTTTTTCTTTGTTTACTACGTCCAACCATATAAACAAGGTTGCTAAATTAAAAACTGTTTGTAAGGCAAGTAGTTATTTTACCGAATAACTTTATATGAAAATGCTATGACTGCTCAAGTTTGTTCAAGCTATTTTATATTCTTCATGACCTAACAGTGCATTTCTTAAAATAGACCATACTATCAATCAAAATGTCTTTTAAGTCTGTCGTACTTGATAGTTATGTCTTCCTTTTCGCGTTTTAATCGAAATCATTTTATCCTAGTGTGTTGATTTATCAACTAACTTATTACAACAATGACAGTAATATTTTAACATATATCAATTAAATGTATGTGAATTTAAATACCATTAAAATATATACCAACGCCATTAAAGACAGCTAATGTTTAGAGAGAGATAAGCCATATCTCCAGTTTGCACCACATCGCACAATAGTCTTATATTTGCTCTCATCTCACCAGGAGATAATTGGCAGTGTTCCAGGAATTGGGCGTCAATTTTGTAATTGGCAGAGCCTCGGTTACGGGCCAATGGGTTAATTGGTCCTTACCAGCGTCAATCCGTCTGTTTGTCTCGCGGCCAATTTTTACCTCCTCAAAATAAAATGACCCCTTTCAATGGCCCATTGTGTTATTAGTAGGCCTAACGTATTCAAACAGAATAACCACTTTTAAATGGGATGATGTGTATGCTTATGTGAATGGTAATCAGTTATATAAAAAAGAACATTATTCTATATGGTTTATTTGATTGGAATGACATACTGCAATACATTATTATAGTACGTTGTATTGGCAACAAAACTCGTGTATTATTCAAATAACGTTGGAAATAGTTTTATGTTAATCTTTTTAGTTCTTGCAATTAGTTTAAAATTCACCGGATTGATAACCATAGATTATGTCATTAATCTGTTTTGTATAGTCCTTTTACTACCATTAGTCTAATGTGATGATACCAATAATTGATGTTTCATAAATTTATCAAACCTAGCTCCTTTCTTCTTTAAATTAATTTATTATGTTCGTGTGATTCCTTTAGTAACCAGTTGTGGTTATATGAATTGGTCTATTCTTTTAATTAAAACAATGTAAATACTTTTGACGATTTATAGGGTTGTTCAATATTAAGATTGTATGATTTTAATTAACTTTGAGCAGCTTTCAAGGTTGGATATCAATGGAGTATTGGAGTATTTTAATCCTTAAGATCGTGCAAATAAGGATAAATTTACCATAAATGTATATAAGAACACACAAATCGGCCAATTAGAGCCAATAATTCACATATTGAATTATTGGGGACATCTTTCTTTAGAAAATTACTAAACATATACCAACTTGAAACTTTTCCAACCTGTGTCTACAATAAAACATACTAAAACACAAGAAGATTCATATTAATTATCTAAATAACAAACACATCGACCTAAAACTATTTAATACAAGCCACTGAGTTTGGCAGAAATACAAACAATAGTTGTGAAACATTGGATTATTAAATTTAATACAGACAAGTCCACCAGTATATCAAATTACTGCACTTGATCAAAACCAGACTGCAGAGTAAATTAAATGGTTTACCCTATAGCTAATTGAGAATATTGCATTGTTCTGTGGTATATTAATCTGCTTCAGACACTTCAATGAGGTATGTTATAAATTACTACATTTATTTGCACTATGCATGCTATCAGACCTATATACGAAGATGTCTTTCATGTGCACTTTATTGGAGGAGACTCTTTAATATAGAGTAGGCCCTACACTCTCCTCAGTTGAGAGATTCATATTAAATTTTCCTTTTCTAAATAGGCCTAGATAGGTGTACAGTTGGGTTCAAAACTATTCATCGTGTTATAATCACGATATTTTTTGCGAGGACGCTAGGCCTTAGCTCGAGATTGTGTACACACACATTACTTCGAGTTAGGACTAGTTGCGGAACTATCACTTGGATAAAAAATTGCGGCTGGAAAGATTTGAACCAGGGACGTTAAGGACCAAAGTCCCGCGCTCTACAAGTAAACCAGCTTACTCCCCTTAGCTAAAATTAATTGATGATTATTGGTATTTGAACCCGGACCCCTGACACTAAACTCACGTGTCCCAACTGAGGCAGATACTTGCTGAAGCTACTTTGCTAGAAAAGAGTAAATAGTTAAATTATAAAGTGATGTTGGTATAGTATCATTCATACCATTAAAACCTAAAAAGTAATAGTATTTGCTAGATTATTTCTAACAAAATTCAAGTTTAGAAAAATCCTAAACTCAAACTCTTAACGAAGTTTACTAGAATTCAGCTGAGGTTTAAGTAATTATAGGAGCAATTTTGGTATCATATTGGAAGATAGCAATTTTATAGCAACGGTTATAGTGTTCGCAATAACCAATAATGAGGAGGTTGAGGGTTCAATCCTGAGAGATGCTATTTGAGGGTTTGAAGCTAGACTAAGCTGTCCATTACAAATAACATTAAAATATAAGAGCCTTGCTAAAAAGGAAACAGCTAACCTTTAAAGAAGTAAAATGGCGTAGGTAATATCACTAAATTCTATCATTGTCTTTGAAAAGATGGAAAAGACTTCTTGCCGTATTAAAAAGTCTAGAGTTTGATTTGATTACTGTTTCATGATGGTTGCACTTTTGTAGACTAAATCTTTATTTTTTAGGAACCATTTTTTTAGGTTTAATGTATTCTAACAATATAATATTAAATTACAATACATTATAAATATATTTTTATGTACAGTTAATATTTCGATGTTTGTTAGTAAGAAACATATATTAAAACGCGTATTTGACACCAACCGGACAAAACTGACCATATAAACCGTTTTCAGTTGATATATACTTCTTTCAATCTATTATTATATACTTATGTAATATATATATATATATATTAAACTTAAAATGCGAATTCAAAAGAGCATTGTAGTCTGAAAAATTGATTGATATAAATTTTTCTTCATGCGAATCCATTTATCATGACTAAAACCCAGCTATGGACGTTTTATATGACGAAATAATTTTGACGATTATTTTGTATATATGCCGATCTAATTATTATATAATAATCGTCCAAAACTGTCATATAGCTAATATGCAAAATTTTAATTAGGCAAAACTACATAAATGGACTTCTAATTCACTTAATTACAACTCTAATCCCCATCTCAAAGTTTAACTGTATCCAACAAGTTTTCTGTTAAATGTCTCATATCAACGTGTGCTTTTTGTGTTTTTAATTTTTAATGTATGACGAATCGTAAGAGAGGATTAACCTGATGATGTGGGAGTTGCCACGAAACATGTAGTTATACCAGACGTATAAGGATATTGTATGGAAAAAAATAATTATATCTATATCCAGAAGTAGGACAATAAATTATGTATCCCAAAACTATCTACAAGTCTAGTTTTATCCATAGTAAATATACTGAACCCACGCCGAATACATATTGAGCTTAAAACACACACCAAAGTGGTCGTTTCGCTGCTAGGAACAGGTGATTTCCAACTAGGATTTGACCATAAAGAAATATTTGACATGCGATTGCATCATGTATATTATTACCGAAACATACATTTAAACTATTCACTATAGTTATTAAAATAAAAGACCACGTCTCTTCCATAGCCACTACTTTATCTAACAGTTTAACCGTATAAGTATAGCCTGTCAGTGTCACCTCTAGTTTATCCTAGATGTTATTATAATTACAACACTCCTCGTTGCCAAGTGATAAAGCCACTCCTCGGCCGTGTCTGGAGGACCCACGTTGGAGCCCACTCACATCCTGGGCAAGAAACTGGCGCCGTGCTGGTCCGCGGGCTTACTCCTTACTGGGTAACGTACGTACAGAGCGTACATAACACATCATCATACTATACACAGAATAGACTTTCCATTTAATGTAAAAAATTGAAGGAAAAAACGTGGTGCAATCTGTTGAGATGGTCTACCAACCAATGACGATATTTTGAAGTGATAAATCAATCAGCTGTTTGCTATGATACTGCATTGGTTTTAATTAATATCATAGACAAAAAGAATTAAATATAGATTGTCAGCTGTGCTGCAGTTACCATGGTTACCATATGTTCTGGCCCACACCGCTGGGAGCGCCATTTGGTTACTGCCTACGCGCTACGTAAACTATACGGCACTTCCGGTGGTGTGCGCCAGAACCTATGGTAACAGCAGCACAGCTGACGGTCTATATTTAATTATTTTTGTCTATGTTAATAATTGACCCAATACACCCCCCCCCCTCTGGTGAGATGGTTCTGAACTTCAACTATTTTCTTGGCTTCAAATCCTTACATTACTTTGAAAGTATATTCTGTGTTTAGCCAATGATATCATTGGCTCTGTACTGTAGAAATCCCAATCGATAAATCAATATGAGCTGATCACAGCGTGAGGTGCAGTCAAAACTTTAGTTCATCCGAAAAAGAAACCGCCTAAAATACAATTTTAAAGGAGAGAACTATAAGGTCAACATAGGTCAAACGTTACCAACAGAATAATATAATACGCATCAAAATATAATTTCATATTTTAAAAAATTTGCGAACTCTGTGGTCAAATATCTCATAACTAGTTGTGTATACGATCTTACGATTTTTATCACAGGTTCGAGAGAAAACATCTAACACGTAAATTACTAACCTCACTCAATACGGTACCGCATTTGCCACAACCACTCTAAAACCATCAGATTCCCCATCGAACCATCTCATCACCCACAGCTCTGATTATATCACTCATTGATCAAAGAGTATTGATCCTATGATCAACCGCAGTAAAATTAACAAGCTCGTTAAACGCTTGATCCCAACTAATCGGGTATATGGGTCGGCGATCTCGGACTACTAATGAATTTTGGAACGATTGACTAATTACTGTTTCACTGTAGAGTGTTTAAGCCCACTAATTGCCTTTGGTTGTAAAAATCTGGCTTTGGTCAATTACAGGTAGATCGTGTTATTTGAATGTAGATGGTTCTCAGCACTTAATTTGCGGGTTTTTGGCGCCAAGAGGAATTATATTGCATTTTCAATAGGATGAAATGATTTACGTGTATATTTTTGTTGAAATTAATATATAAATGGTAAAGCTTTTGCGTTTTGTAAAAGGCTTAGGGTTAGTACAAGAGTAAAGTGTGTCTAAACGTGTTGGATCGGACTAGAATCCTTCAAGTTTGTACGTATCTGTAGAAACTGAATTGTTTAGTAAGGAGTGAAAACACTGTCTACTTTGTAACCAATAAAAATTTAAAGGTTAAAACATAAAACTTTATAAAATGGCTACATAAAATACTCCCCAAAGAGCTTGTCAAAATTGAATACTTGTATATGAAGATTGTTTTGTCAAGTTGTTAAAAGTATACCCATATGCCAGAAGAAGGGAAAAAGTACGTAGCTACGTATTTTTTATACGTAGTCTACGTAAATAGTACGTCATCGGTTGCATTTGCTAACCTTGCATACTAACTTAACTAGTTACTAAATATAATCAGGGGATTTGAGAAAAAACTCAATAATGCTGGACTCAAGCACCATTCATTCAGCTTGATCAAAATTAAAGACAACTGGTAGATAAGTGACAATAATACAGTATTGTACTTCGTTCACAAGAATTAGGTGGTTTTAAGAGAAGAAATTTATCCCTTCTGCATGACTCTTATCTTCAAAAGAATATCTCAACAGCTGATTAAGCAACATACACTAAGTACAACCAACGTGGTTGAGGAACTTCCCCTCAAACCACCCGAATATTGTGTAACGAGAATTAACAAATATCAGTGTTGTAATGGCTTTGATTACTCTGTGTTAATTTAATTGATCAGCTGACTTTTAAAACAAGTTTTTTTTATTTTCGTTCTTTGTTATTGTTTCGATTTCTAACCTAATACAATGTTAGTTAAGTGATCTTGAATTTTAATATTTTAATTAGTGATGTTTTTGAGTTTCAATCTTTAATTAGTGATTTTACAGGTGAGCTCCTAAAAAAATATTCCAGCCTTCCACTCTTAAAACTGGTTTATGTAATAATTATTATACTTTTGCAGTAAAGTAATCCATCAGATTTGACACTCCAACTCACTCTCTAACAACCAGCTTTGTGTGTTCCAGATTTGACGTACCTTTGTCAGTGACGTCATCGTTAGTGTTCAGACCTCGTACTTTGATCATTCACGCCCAGCGATCCGCGGTATTGTTGGGACTAACGCGATCAAAACCTGGAATGTTCGTGGTGACTGTGACTGTGATTGTGTGAACCGAGACAATGGAAAGACTCACTACGTTGACTCTTGCAGTTCTCCTTTTCTCACAATGCGCGTGCCAGAGGTCTGCTGATAAAAAAGGTAAGATTGAAAAGAATTGGTTTTTGAATATTTTCTTAAGTAAGATCTTATGAGTTTATATTACCAAACACGTAAAAAACTTAATTTTACTCAGTTTTACTATATTTTATTGATAAATACCCCCACCGCAGCTGACCTGCGTACTAAGCGAATTTCCATTAACCTGATTGAATTTGCACTATAATATCTCCTTAAAATATCACATTATACAATTATGATTCCGAACGGATGGTGTTTTTTGGGCTCTAGGGACCTCAAAACGAAAAAGTAAATCGGTTCTGGGTCCAGGTCTTACCATAAGTACTACGGTAATAGCTTATTCCCTATATGGGAAATGTGCTAAAATATACCCTATTCCATTCCAATGTCAAATATTAATAAGTCTTAGAGAGTGTCTAGGTTTAGAGCATTGTTTAAAGGCTACCGGTAATTTCGGGACTTAGACCCTCCCCCCCCCAAAAAAAGAAGGGGTAGGCTACTAGGGGTCCTCCTCCTGGAAGATTAGGTATTTTAAAAGCCGTTTGATTACTTCCACAGCCGTTTTTAACATTTATAACTATGAAAAAGAACCTTGGAACAAAATGTATGTTAAAATTTATTTTCCAGGGGCAAAGGGGGGTTTAGCCTCTTTACAACTGGAACTCCCGCTGGTTTCAGAATTAAAATAACCAAAATAAATTCATAATAAATTAAACTACTTACAAAGTACGCTGATGTTTGATATTCAATTTTGTCGAATCGTTCGAAAAAGTTAAACCAAAAATAAAGCTAGCTAACTAGGTACATACAAACATCATACAAGGCACAATATACTAGCTAACCAACGCTGAATACAACTAATTGTAAAGCATAACACTTGTATTACATGGCATTACCTACAACTAGCATAGTGTCTAAAACTAATGGAGTACATTTTGACACTAATCTATTCTGTGGGGTCCATACAACAGTCTTCATTTATATTTTGAAACCAGTCACAATCTAAACATGGGAATGAATGGGAAAGTCTATTTGTATTCATAGACAGAGGTGTGTAGTGGTTTCATAAAAGTATTCTCTTACTTTCCATTTTGTTGTTTTCAGCTTTTACTATTAAATCCAATTGTGTGACGTAATGTAGTGGAAGAAAGTTATTTTCTTAAACCCAAAATAAAATGTATCAGCGTAACAAATTCGTTTTAAATTATTTACTCGTAAAAAAATACATGACAAAATCCAAAACTGCTAGCTTTTAAAAAGAAAAAGCAACCTTCATTCTATAGTTTTATGACATTTAAAATTTGTTTTTGACGCTAACGGTAAAATAACAGATTTCTCATTACAAGTGCTTTCCTTTGTTTTCAATGGACCGTATACAAAGGACGTTGCTATGGAGCAGAATATAGCGAATATCACGTTACTGAAATATCTGGTAAAAGACAAAGAATTTCTTCTTTGATATTTAGATTCACCAAGGCACTATTGAAACTGCTACATGAACAGTATCGGTGAGCGAAATTGACAATATTGTGTTTACATTTAGGTCGTTTTGATGTTTTGAAATCGTAGTTTTTGTGCTTTTTTGAAATTGATATTTTACAGTGGGCATATACTATCGACTATGGCACATCGATTTGTCTTCAATTTGTTCTAAATATACAATATATATTAATCTTATATACTAAAAAACTTTTTTCAAAACTTATGACTGCTAGCCAGACCATACTGATTGAATTACACGTAGTTGGTAACAAATGAAAGGTATTTTCCCGTAGATGTGCAGAATCTGGCAGAATCTCCTTATAAATTAAAATAGGCTCAAAAATAAGCAAAAAAATAAATATATGATTAAAAAAAGATTAACATGGGTCTTATGCTGGTGAAGAAATAACAACGTATTTCAACTAAATTCAAACACTTTTTAAATATTTTACATTGTGGTTGTATTTAAAATGTGAACAATAAATGTGCAACACAGCTGATCCATGTGATTACAGCATGTGTCGCTGACTTGTTTCATAAGTACGTGATGACAGTGAAAAGTACGTGATATTCTGCTGCGTATGATTCAACAATTGCGGTATGTTGCAATTTGTTATAATAGTTTCAGTATGCTGATTTGCCGCATGTTAAACAGATGTAGGAAATTAAAAAAAAATTATTCTAGGTGAGTCTAAGGTTGGGTGTTGGGTATCCGTAGCGTTGCCACCTAACAATTTACTAGTATTTACAGTACACATCATTATGGTCATGTTTCGACTCACCCCAGAGGATATGGACGGGAACCCGTTCAAAAGAATACTAACCCCAAAAGGATTTAATTACAATTAACAAATATTGAGAGAGCATAAATTAGCTTTAAAATCAGCACTGTGCGCAACCTTTTAGGGCTTAAGGCAATCGTAATAGATGTTTATCTTTAGGTTGAGTATTCAACTCAAGGTTCAAGCTAATAGTGTACACAGCGCTCTTTGTACGTCCCAACTCCTTCAGCCTCCGTGATAGTTATGAGTCAACAATAACAGCTGCCAATTAAGGGTAAGAGGATGACAAATACTTCCGCTCTAGCGGCACTGTCGTGCCCCGGGTGTATATAGAGCATCTTGTGTATGGGCTTCTCTTCGGCTTTTCAATGGGCCAGGAAAAGAAGAGTGAGTTAAAGCTGATGTATCTTTTCCGCAGTACTGACGCGTAAACAGTTTTTAATTATCCCATGCGTTGCGGAGTTAAAGTAATTAATTTTGTCCCTGGGGAGTAAACATCTCTTTAAGACCCCAGGGAGTAATGATAAGACACTGTTAACTCTGTCGTAAGCAATCGTATCTATCGAAGGTAATCATCGATTGTATCTTATTGTTGAATTCTTGACAGTAGTTCGACATATCGATGGAAATAGTAATTGACTAAATGATTGAATCACTTATTTTACCCCTGCTTGTTAACGCGAAACCGTTTCTACATCTCTTACTTATTGTCGTGACATCATTACTTAGATAACATCCATTTGATCGGTGGGATTTTGACCTGGAACCTTATGGTTCGAAGTCTTGCGTTCAACCCTATCCAAGCTTATCTCAAAACTTACATGTTGACCGAAACAAAATGATCAAAGTACCCTTCAGTAATTGAGAATGTTGTCCGAAAATTATACATGAACCCTATGAACACCATGAACCCATGGTGTCTTGCAAACCTATGAACAAATTTTGTCACGTTATTCAGCATGTCAAAATAAACAAAAAATAACGTGACAAAGTTTGTTCATAAGGTTGCAAGACACCCTGTATAAGACGAAAGATGTGTGGTGAGGAGGTACGACACCATTGAGCTACAAAGGTGTACCAACTTAAGTAATTGTGAACAACAAAAAGGATGTAACATCAGACAAAACCCACCGGGTGAAGAAGCTGTTAAAATAGCCAACAGACATCAGGATGTTCCAAAGTTGGGCGTGGTAGTCAGATGCTTCAACAGCGGCAGTAAATGTCACCTCTGCAACCTTTGTGGGAGGCTGAACCTCGCCGATTTCCTGTCTAACATGTGTCGACCAGTTATTATACATGGGTGGTGTCAACGTGCCATAAACCCCAGGACCAATTCATTCTACAGACCTAGAAGTCCTGTACCGAGTCTTCAGTATCAGATTTTCGTAATTTAAACTTATCTATGCGAAACATTTTGCTGAAGTAGTCATACTTTAACCTGCTTAAGCCTTCAATATTTAAATGACATATAATTTTCTAAACATATATAGCCCTATTCAGCCACAAAAATTGTTTTTGTTCCTCTAAGAAATTAATACGGATGAAAATAAATGCGAGAGTTCAGCTGCTTGAAAACCGTTCTTTTATCACAGCAAGAGGGGTTTTATAAAAAAAAAACGAAGTGTTTGTAAAAAATGATTTTCGGATATCAGTTAGCATCCTCAAACAATTAAATATAAAATCAAGTACAATTTTAGCTTTTAGTTCATTTGTTCTGTACAATGGTCGGCATTTTGGTAACAAAAATGTGTTCCTCTTCTTCCAGCTATTTAATTCTTTCAGTTATTTCATCTAAAAAGACAAGTAACGGGACCATTTTGGTTAGGAAGTTTGCAAACTATTACTTAAATGTTCCTCTTAAGATTTAGCACTCCTCTGAGTCTAATTTTCTCAGCTCCTCTCTGCAGAATACAATCGTAATTTACTTTTAACTGTTTATTTATGCTAACGTTTCTATTTAGCGGCGGTGAAGATCTTGGGTGATCTAGCAAGATACCGCTTTATACGATTGCAGTTCATTTAAAAACGAGTTTCTATAACTCCCATGATATTCTTCTGCGGTTAGTAATTTACGTGGTTTGCTTGTTGATGGATTTTCATTGAGGTTGAGATACTCTTACGACGTTGACACATGTGTATTTAACAGAGAAGATGAGTGAACGTGTTGATAGCATCATAGCTTAGTTTATGACCAAGATCAACTGGTTATCAGCTGGATCAAAAATTGAAAGACGGTCCTTCATTTCATGTCACTATTAAATGCCCTGTTATCAAGGAAAGCTGGTCAAGTTTCAAACCAATAAAAAATCTCCCCTATTTTAAGGACATAACTGTCAGTTATTTGATTTTATTGTCATTAATTAAAATTATCCAATGAAATGAAATTGAGTGACTGCAGCAATGTGCCGGTGTGAAATTACGTCGAATGTAATAGTTGTGCACATTTGTTTTTATTTATGACCACGTTGAAACAGATTAATCACGTTATCTGAAAGTTCGCTTAGTGTACAGTTCTTCTACGAATGGGAATTGAATTTCCTTCGTATTTAGAAATTATAAAATATTTGGAAAACTAAAATAGAATAACTAGCACCTAATTGATATAGATATTAAACGGTATCTCCTTTTAACTTAAAATTTAAAAATTATTATATACCCAGTACAGTAAAGTATCTTTAAAATGTGCTATGTACTTTTCAAAGAAATAATTATTTGTCAAAAGCTTTCAAAAGGCCAAAAACTGAATTTCAATATAAA